CTACTGTATTTGTAACACCAAACTGTATCCCCCGATTTTGTAATAATTAATTTTGTGAACTATGGAAGCAAATTTAAAGACGTATTGAAGTCAAAAGTCGTTGTACATACATGAAAGCTAAAAAATATGAGTACGATTAAGACTTAAATTGTTCCATCTGACAATCCTGGACAGCGCCAGCGGCGGATTAGGCATGCACTCAACAATGATTATACGTACACACGTCTGTCTCACGAACACCGCGACAATTTAGTGAAGTGCTTGGAGTACTACGGTGACGGAATGTTAGATCGCTGACGCTCACGTCACGTTATCGCCGACGATATTAAAGCGTTCCCATTATATATGTTCTGCTCTCTCACTGCACCGTGAAAGTAAGCGTGCGTTGAACGGTAAAATAATAAGGGCTATCATAAAAAATGAATTAGATGACGGACCTTAAAATCTTATATGGATCTGTAAAGTATGAAAACTTTCTTAAAAAGAAGTCTGAAAGATTTCTATTAACATTCATTTACTCTCGCTAATCGGGAATGTGTTTTCAGGAACACTGCTACACGTTGCTCAACAAATTTTTACCATGAATTATTGGCATTATAAAAACAAAAAATTAAATGGTTGTCAGAGTACATACAATTTTTATGAAAACATATAGAAAATATAAACAGAAAATAATGAAATTTAGGATAAACCCACAGTTAATGATATAAAGAATATAATTGAACACTTAAAAGCTGAAGCACATATTACGACGAAAAAAGCAAAAAAAAAACATTAAAGAATAAAAACGAATTTTAACAATTAAAACGTTATCAAACCCAGTCTAATCGAAACAGTCAACCAATTGAACAAGTAATTATTAAAAATAGCACAGCCTTTATAAAAAGAGTATACATAAAAATAGGAATTTAAAAAAATTGCACGTAAGCAACGCAAAAAGCAAAACAATATAAATTATTGCAGAATTATACTTAAACACGAATACAAATTAAAGCTCAGAAAGCATTGCAACATAATTTATAAGTTCGTAGTGTACACAACGGGTTTAAAACTTAAGGCTAAAAGAAAATGGCTTGCCTCGTCGAACAAATTGAGCGGATGACATGTGATGTGCTAGTGTTGTTATATTTAATTTTAATTAAAATTAAATATTACTACACTAGCACTAGTTGTCATCCGTTAAAATAGTTATATTTAACTTTTTAATTTAAATTAACTAATAATTTCGATCGACTTACATGTTGCGAGTAATTACTTCTTGATAATGGAAGTTTTTATGAGTTACAGCCTTCAAAATATGACCCTCTAATGGGTCTTCTATAATTTCTGAGAAGAAATTGGACCAATTAATTTTTCACACCGCTCCAAGCAAACTTCCTATGTACTCGAAATATTTTGCCTCTCAGTTTTTTCTTTCACCGCAGAGCAAGAGACAAATCAACACTTAAAACTGAAATTCAAATTTCAGCGATGTTGATGGCTATATATGGCTGTATACCCGGTTATAAGTTAAATATTATACATAGATTACTTATTTATATAAATATCTGAACTTTATTAAGTGTTTTTAATGACAAAGGGTTGTTTATTAATTTTAAAACAAACACTAGTCCTGTTTCATTAAAAAAAGTATAAATATATAAATAACATTACATACCATGAATGCAACTTTTTTTTAAATCAAATTCAAGACTTTTTTTAAATTTAGGCCTTTACACAAACCTAGGAAACCTAAACTAACCTAGGAAAAGCTTGGGGGCTAATTTCTGTTCCGTACGTATTCCCATCATGCAAATTCATTAAGCAGTAATTATACTTTGACATATAACAAAGTAAAAGAATTTACCGTTCCGACCGGAATGAGAATAACACATTACGTACACTACGACTTCTGTCCTAATTTAAAAAAGCGCTTAAATTTCCCATAGATATAAAAAATCCTTAATAAATTAGTAGCATTAAGTCATAAGTCATAACCCTCAGAAATTGGACCTTATTTAGAAACACAACATTCGATTTTGTACTTTGCTAATTCAATTCAATGAAACAAAAGAGTGTTACAAACGATCTAAAACACCTATAAATAATACAAGACACACGTATATGTTTACATATGTAAACATTATAACCAATTCACGCAGTCATATTTGCATTTTATAAACATTTTAGTTCAATGTAGGTTAGTGAATAAACGTAGCTTTTGTAATATAAGAATATTAGCTTTACTAAAAAGTAGTAACTAAATTTTTTAGATGATGCCAATAAAAATAAATAATCTGACTTTGTTTTCAAAATGTTTCATACATATATGACCACATACTGGCAGTTAATGAATAAAAACCTGTGTGCATAAAACGTAATAAATGCAAAAACCCGTATTTTTACATAGTGAACTTAATGAAGTATTTTTTTTTTTGTATTTGACAGTGCTAAGAAATATATAGAGCAAGAATATGTAATAAATTTATAAAAATCTTGTAAAACAGTCTTATATAATCCTTTTAACTCCAAATTTTTAAACAACAAATCTTCAGTACCGTATCTCATAAGCATTTTGTTTCACATCAATGATTTTTTTTCTCATTTAGCGAATTAAAAACAGTAACCTGCCCTTCAAAAGATGACATCAAAAAATACTATAACTAAAATGCAACAACAATTAAATAAATAGCAATTATAGAGATATTTTAATCAATCGATTTTATCCAGGTGCTAATATTAATATTGCTTATTGACTTTTATTTATAAAGTATTTTAAAATGAAAGCACTAGTCAAGCTAAACACAAGGTTAACCGATTCCTTAAAAATAATATTTACTGTATATCTTTCTCGTGTTAAAACACTATAGTCTAATATGTAGTCTCACATCAAACTTCTTCGATTTGTATTCGGTATACAGTGTCAGAACTGTTTATTACGCGAAAGCGAAGCGTAAATGTAACAAACACGCCTTAAGGTGATGTGGGCGCCAAAAGCAGATTTTTCACGCTTTAAAAGTGCAATTTTTTGTCATTAAAAAATTACGAATTCACATTTTTTTTTAAATTCATTATGAAAGTTAAAGTTTTTTCTTAGTGAATTATGGTGGCCAAAACACGATATACACATTTTATCTCGATAGAAAAAGATCGCAGTTTCCTCAAAATCTACAATTTTAGATACGTCCACTAAGTGAAAAGCAGTTTCATTCAATTGTAATGAAATCAATTTCAACTAAATTCAGGTTATGTATTCACCAGTAAATACGTGAGTGAATTATGGGTTTATTTTTCAATAAAAGAGTATATATCATTTTAAAAAGAAATATCAAATAAATATTGTGCGATTAAATAGCGCGCGGAACCGACCAAACAGTCCACATAAACCGTGAAAAATCTGTTTTTGGCGCAGTGTTGCCAGATTTTTTCATATTCCCCCCTAGATTTTTCCAAAAAACCCCAAGTTTCCCTATGTAGGGGGATAAAAACCTCTGAATTTTTATTCGGTCAAGTTTCATGTGAATCAAATTTATCAAAAATAAAAAGTTTCTACTATATACAAGCTACGTACTTAGACTATTCAACCCAATGGACGAGTAATGCGCCTAATGCTACGAATAAAAAAGTCTGTCACTTTTGATGCTCGGGAAGGAACAGTACATAGATAGTACTGCACACCTACTCAATAAAATTCATCACTAAGGCACACAAAAATCTAAATCTCCAACACTATTACATTTTTTTGCACACATGTAGGTTAAATACATCATTATAGAAAAAGTTATGAGTATAAGAAGGACAAATTAATTGCGATACTACCATATCGATATTTTATATCGATAATGGATTATCGGCATTGACTGTTTTGAAAAAGAATTCGGAAGTTGGTAAGACTAGTGAAAAACCTCCACAAAAACCTCTAATTTCGTGATATTAAAACCTCTAAAAAAACCTCAACGTCCTCCAAAAACCCCTAGATTGAGGAAAAACCTCTAGATCTGGCAACACTGTTTTGGCGCCCACTTCACCTTAAGTTTTGGTTGCTCTTTCGTGTCTTCTAAGTGCTAGAGGTGTAATACCTAAAATTACCGAAAGCTTTTATATTCACTGACTTCGTCATATCTTACAGTAAGCTATTTATATTTCCTATTCAAACTGCTAAAGCTGAAAGCCTACCTTTGCGCATCAAATACATGGTATGTTTATTCAAATTGAAATACATACAATATAAATAGCATAAGTAAACTCAAGTAACAATAAGGACATTAGTTTTAAATATATCACATAAGTAATACTGATTTAACACAATTGATGAAGGCAAATTTATCATTATGATGATAAATAAGCGCAACCATAACATTTAATGCAGTGAAAATATTATTAAAAACAATAAACAGCGCCATCTCTAGGCCATACACAAGTTTGCTTTTACTGTTGCCTATGTAAAGCCCAAATGTAGTTTTAACATTAAACATATATAATGCTCTAATATGTGTTTTAACTAACAATACATCATAAATAATACTTAACTAAGAAAATTATCACTTTAATACTGATTTATACACTGAGGATTATGAGACAAAGCAATAATTTCAGGTTTTGTACCTATTTACCACGTAACGTTAGTAATAATAAAGATTCAAAAAATAAACTAGAATTTAATACACAGAGGTCTGTGGCGCTACAGACGACCGTAACTAACTTAGCTCAGTCAGGTAACAGAAGAGGTAGATAAAATTGATACCTATATAAATCTTAACAAAGTCATATTACATAGAGCATTCAAGCTTTGTCTCTGTTAAATGCTACTAACATCAATTCCTTATATAATTAAAAAATAATTTTAAATACACGACATTTAATGATTTTAATAATTACGACGGACAAGATTAAGTGATATCATATCAATTGTGTTTATTTTACTTACGTGTATAAGTAAAAGTTACCTTAGGGCAAGACAACAAATGAGATCAATACCGACACGAAATATACCTTTATCATTTACAGGTATGAGACTGTAATCAATTTTTATTACACTGCGCGTTTTCTGCATTCGAAGCTAACAAAGCTGATAATGTGGCATGTGTAGCACTTAAGTTACCGGATGTAGGGCAAACTATGTTAGGTGAACCATTCCCGAGGTTATTATTCAAAATCCCACCACTAGTACCGGAGCTTACAATTGTAACATTTGGTGGTGGAGTCACTCCGTTAGCAAAACCAGTTGATAAAACTTTCTGAGTATTGTGCATCATAAAGGACTTGTTGGCAGCAGAACTTCCAAGTGTAAGCACTTTCTTTAACATCACTGAAGAACTGCATGCATTGTCTATCATATCTTTGGCCGTAGATATGCTGTCGAAATCACTTGAACTGGCGGTAACCGCCGTACTTATTTTTGGGGAGGTTGTATGCAATGCGGGTCTCACAGCAGTCACATTGAAAGAGACACTCGATGTAGTTGCATTTAAATTGCGGTTTATTATGTTTCTTGAGACGATAGCATTGTGTAATATGTTTCCAGTAGGGAAAGCTTTTGATGACACATTGATATATTGAGTTGGTGTTCCAACGACTGTGGCGTTCGATGTGCGAGTACCGAAGCCAATTATGGTGCTAGCTGTGCCTTGCGACATGACAGTGCTGATTGTTCCTGTCTTTGTGTTGATGGGTATTCTGCAACAAAATAACATTCAATCGTAGTAGACTTCTAAGAAACAATCCCGATAAACCAAAAACAGACAAGATAATTATTTTGTTTATGTAGCAATACATTAATATTTCAACTTATCTAGGAACTTTTGTCGTAACAATTATCTTTTAAGTAAATCTTTAATCAAGTAGGTCATTTTTAACTATATTTACATTTTTATAAACCTTTACAAACACCGACAAGTGAAAACGCACGGGAAAGGTCAGAGTCAGTATATACAAGGTAAATACATTTGAATCAGAACCATTTCGTGGAATCTACAAAAACCTGGTCAAATTATTATTTATTTTTTTATAAGAGAGGGGCCAAACGAGCATACGGTTCATCTGATGTCAAGTGACTACCGCCGCCTATGAACAACTGCAACACCAGGGGAATTGCAGGTGCGTTGCCGGCCTTTTAGAAAGGAGTAACCTTTTTTCTTGAAGGTCCCTAGGTCGTATCGGTCCGGAAAAATCGCCGGTGGTAAACTATTCCACAGAGAGGTCGTACGCGGAAGAAAACTCCCAGTGAAACGTACAGTGGTGGACCGCCAAGCATCCAGATGGTGTAGATGGTATCGGGAGGTTTGCCGCGTAGTGAGTTCATGAAATTTGGCGGCTGGAATTATAATCCGAACAATTTCTCAGAGCACTCCCGGTGATAGATGCGAAAAAAATGCAAAATATCTCTTCGCAGCGCCAGTGAATCGAGCCGATCGGAAAGCACTCGGTCATCGACGATTCGAGCCGCTCTCCGCTGGATGCGGTCAAGTGGAACCGGGGAGCCGTAGCCCAGAGATGAGAACAACCCAACACCTCCCATGGCCCCACCGACCTTCAGGTCATACGGGCCGAATCTCGGGAGATGCGCGCGGTACTTGCACCTTGCTCTTTCCCGCGCGCACTTTCTTGACTCCCTACAAATATTTATTCTATTCCTTGTCCCAGTTTAACGTCATTCTCCCCCTTCTGGGGCTGACGGCACAATAACGCCTACGTCGTCGGGCCTTACTACCAGCATTCTATCTTGCCTTATCCTGCGATCGTGCCACCTATGCGCAAACTCGCGCAACAGTCCGTAGTTCACCCCATCGCTGACGAGATCTAAGTAGTAAAGTAGTAAAAAGACGAGATCTAAGTAGTCCTCAGACCTGCCTCCCAGACGCCTTTTGCTCTGCCAGCACGCCTAAGTTTGCATTGCAACTTCCGAGTCCTATCTAGTTCATCCGTCCACCATTAATACCCCCCCGACCTCCAGGGGCAACGTTCCCCTAAGCCTTCCTCCGCAGAGCGGATTACGACCTCTGAGAACTCCTCCGCCAGGAGGGCCGCGGGTTTTTCCACGTGCAGCCATCCCATTCGTAACTTGACAATCGTCTGGAAGCTGTCCCAATCCACCCCCCGGTCATGAAAACGGGGACGATCCCTGACGGGTGCAGCGCAAGTGGTCGGCCTGCTGGTAGTGGCTACGTACGTTAACAGGTTGTGGTCACTGGCCCAGACTCCCTCATGCACTCGCCACTCAGCAACGTGAACCTCCGTGATGGACAGCGTAAGGTCCACGTTCGACTCTCTTCCAGGTCCAGAGTAGGTGTAGGGATGGTCAGGCTGGTTCGCCAGCGTAAGCGCCTGTGCGAATATGAAGTCTTCCATCTGCTGCCTTCGGTACGTCGCATTCTGGCCTCTACCCACGTAGTATCGACGATCGCTGTGCCAAAGTGGCGAGTGCGCATTTGCGTCGAAGCCGACGATGACCCTTCTGCCCTTTAGGCAACTCAGGGCGACCTCCAAGTGCTGCAGATGGTTATCGATGGTGTCACTGTATTTAAAGTACGCTGACACCACATAGAAGTCCCATCGGTTTACGTGGCACACCACACAGAACTCATTGCTGAGGTGACTCAGCAAAGCTACTCCAATTGTTGGGTCGGCAAGATAGATACCAGCCCACGGGTGACCCCCCACCTGGACGATTCCTGCATCCTGGGAGTACTGTTCTTGTACAAGAACAATATCCAGGTACAGTTCACGCGCCAGAATAGGCAACTCAGCCGTGGCAAGCTCCCCCGGACCCAAGTTGATCTGCCCCATTTTGATTGCTCGATCTTGAAAATCAGTAAACATGCCCTTATCGGCAGTATTGTGTGGTTGCCACGGAGCGTTGCTCTGCATACAGTCTTGCTGGGCAGTTCCTTGCCATGGTCACGTGCGTACCAGAGTCAGGCCGGCCAAATCGCTTGCAGGTTTACTGTGCAGGCCCCACGCTCGTGTCCCGTTTCCCCACACTTGCCACACACAGTCTCCTTGGACCGGCAGTACTTCGCTGGATGCCCGTATTGCTGGCACCTCTGGCAGCACGTGACGTCAACGTAGTCGCAGGGCTCCACCACGTCCTAGTCAATGTAGAGGCGATTATGTCCCACCAGCACGTCTCTTAATGCAGCCGAGCACTGGAGAATAACCGTAGTGCGCTTGCTTCCTCTCCACGATTTCTTAAAGGCCACCTTGCAGTCTTCCTTCACCTTATCCTTACTCCAGCCACAGGCAGCAAGATTCTATTCCTAGAGGCCGCTTAACACTTCCTCGTTCTTGGGGTCCTCCTCAAAACCCCTGAGGGCAACCAGGCGAAGGCGCTGCCTGTGCTCAAACACCCTCAATGATGAGAGATGAGAGATGATGATAGTATTCCATTCCAGAGATGGGAACAGTATTCCATGTGAGGTCAAAACTACGCCTTGTAAAGTTGCAAGCGGTGAGTCGGCATGAAATACTGTCCTGCTCTGCTGAGCACCCCAATCTTTTTAGAGGCTAATTTGGCCTTCTCTTCCAAGTGACCAAGAAGCTGCACGTTACTCGATATGTCGACACCGAGGATTTCGATACTGGCTGAGGCAACAAGGGGAGTGCCTTGAAACTGAAGAGATACGACAAAGGGGTTCTTTGTAGCGCTTAACGCGCAAACTTATGTCTTCTGAGGGTTAAACTGGTCTAGATTTAGTCGCCCCCAATTCGAGACTTTGTTTATCAAAGACTCGACTTCAGACACATGATTGTCCCGGTACTCGGAGACGTTTTCCCGAGAAATATTGGCACGGGCGGTGTACAGAGCATCACCAGTGCTGCCATCCACATAGCAATGAATGTTACCGGTTTGCAACATATCATTTATATGCAGAAGAAACAGCGTTGGTGACAGCACGCAGCCTTGTGGAACGCCAGCATTAATAGGCTTGTAATCGGAGCAGGCACCGTCTACAACGACCTTGATGCTCCAATCTACAAGAAAGCTAGTGATCCAATTACACAATTTCTCGGGAATTCCATAGGAAGGGAGCTTTGAAAGAAGCGCTTTATGCCAAACCCGATCGAAGGCCTTCGCCTGAACTCGCTTTGGACTCTACTGCCTCCGCCCATCGATGAGTCAGATAGACCAGAATATCACCAGCTGATCGACCCCGTCGAAAACCATATTAGCGGTCACTAATCAGCTGGCGATCCTCAACACCACGTGAGCAGGCAGTTTATAATGGATTCCATTTTTTTGGAGAACAAGAAGGAGGTGGCGATAGGCCTGTAGTTTGACGGATCTGAGCGGTCGCCTTTTTTAGGGATCGGGTGGACGAAAGCCGTCTTCAATGATTTCAGGACTACGCCTAGGGAGAAAGAGTACCGGAAAAGACGCGTTAGAACAGGTGCCAACTATGGAGCACACGTCCTCAGCACAATTGGGGGGATTCCGTCAGGCATACTCGACTTGTGGATGTCCAGAGAGAGGAGTGCTTCGCGAACCGAGCGCTGTGTGAACCACACGTCCGGCATTGAGCATTCACACCGGGGGATGGTCAGCGGTGTGCTACCCCCGTCATCGAGAGTCGAGTTAAACGCAAAGAAAGAGCCTTGCAGGTCGGCTTTCTCTTATGCGGCATGGGCCAGTGAGTCATCCTCCATGTACAGAGAATCGAAGTGATGGCTGACATAAATTCCCTTGGACAGCCTTGGCGAGAGACCAGAATGCATGGGTTCCAGAAGGAAGGAGAACTAGTTTCTCGCCAATTCTGCCTACGTGCTCTGACTTTGCTCTTCCTTGGCAATGACTCTTTTGAAGGACCTGGAGGCGAAATCATACTTATTTTCTAGGGCGCTGGTGTTTACATTTAGGCCCGGTAGCACTCCTGCTTATAGAGTGATGCTAGTTTACAGGAGCGACTAAACCATGGCTGAGATCTGCCTCTGATGGGCAACACAGATGATAGAGTAAAATGTTCAATACTCTGAAGTACCACATCAGCGACAGAGTCAGCAACAACGTTATGATCGTCCGACGAGAAGCAAACCCACCGCTAAGGGAAGAATGCAAAGAAAGACGGCATCCGATCCCAATCGGCTGAACTATAGTGCCAAACATGGCGGCAGCCTGCAGAATAAAACCGCGATTTCAGCGTGAGTGGCACCACACCCCGGACAAAACAATGATCCGAGGAGCCAAGAGGGGCATCGACGAAGACCTCATAGAGAGGTCAGGAGAAGGTCGAACAGGGAAGGTGCATGATCCTCCACATATGGAATCCGCGTAGGCGACGTAACCAGTTATGTCAGACCATATGCCAAGACAAAATTATGAACAGATCTCCCCGCATGATCGGTTAAACGTGAACCAAGCCATTCAGCGTGGTGGGCGTTAAAATCGCCGAGGATCACAACCTCTGTGGAGGGAAACTGCTGTAGCAGCGGATCTGTACCCAATCGGACGTGGTCGAAGAGTCGGTCTGTTTCGGCATTACCGCTATGGGACCTATAGAGGCACCCGTAGACGCGCGGATGGACGCCGCTGTCTGCGCGTAGCCAAATGATGGACAGGTCCGAACTTTCAAGACTGCCGAGGCGTCGAGAACAGATGTCCTCTCTGACGTATACGCAAACTCCAGCCCGAGGCACAAAGGAGTATTCCAGTTTCTACCCCTTCGTGTCTAGGAGACACGAAGCATCAGCCGGAGAGGATACCTGTGTCTCGGTCAGAAAGGATATCTGCTTCTCGGTCAGGAAGAGCAGAGCCGGCTTCACCGTCACGAGATGGTACGGGATTGACTTAACGTCAGACCGTTTACCATAAGAAATCTCTAATGAAAAATAAAAACACCGGATCTAAAATATCAAGTCTTAAAGCATTCTAAAACCTTAATCCGGGCCCACCATTGAAAATGCGAAAGAATGAAAAGTAACAATCGGTTTTGACTAAAACTTATTTGTATTTTTATATTTAAATTTATGTGTTGTTTTGTGTTTTGCACCAACAGCCCATATGTGACAGCAGAACTCTGCGCTACGCCGTTCACGAAGAGAAACCTCGAGCATTGCCTTCTCCATAGCTCGCTGAGCGACCTTCAGCGTCCTCATACGGCAAGCAGTCAAGGCCCACGTCTCTGATCTATAAGTCATCACTGGTAACACGCTATGGTTATACAATCTAGTTTTTGGGTTTGAGGTATATCCGACGAGAAGATGTGTCGTAATCTCCCGAACGGTGCAGCTTAACTATGGTTTTAGAACGAATGGGTCGGCTCGACCGGGGAAGGACCACGCTCTCACAAAATGCGTAAAATAGCAGCTTTAACACTGCTGTGTTTCATATGGTGAGTTTAGAGACCTTTTTTACTGAAAACGAGGCATTTCATGGTCATTTTATGGGTTAAAGTACTGTGGGTGGGTGCGACCCATAACCGCTGGGCGGAATATGGCCGCGGTCTCATGAGACCGCTAGGGAGTTGAGAGATTAATACCGTATCTTTTCCAGTCCAGTAGCTTGAAAACGTCTTCCAATGCAGCGGTGAAGCGTTTCGGGGATATAAAGTCACCCTGTCTTACACGTCTCTGCAGTTGGATAGTTTTCGTACTCTGGTTCTGTACTCGGATAACCATCGTAGCCCTACTGTACATACACTTCAGCACTTCGATATACCGACACTCAATTTGGCACCGCTGAAGGAACTGTAGCACCACCCAAATTTCGATGGAATCGAAGGCTTTCTCATAGTCCACATACGCAAGATGAATTCTTCGATTGTATTTTTTCAGATGAGGCAGATTGTATTCTTCGGTCTTTTGTAAGATTTGCCAAAGAGTATGTATGTGAGTATGTCTATGGTACTAAAGCCTTTTCGGAAATTGGCTTGTTCGGGAGGATGAAAGTCTTCAAGTCTGCGTGCAAGACGATTCGTAATGACTCTCGAAAACAGCACGTAGACTCGGCTCAGAAGGAAAATCGGTCTGTAGTACCGCCGCACTTCTACTCCACGCCGCCGGATTAGTTCCACAATGGAGGACGGAATTAAAGACCTTCTGAAGGACTTCAAGTACCGGTTTCCCACCCGCTTTCATAATCAGAAGCTCCGCGGTAATTCTATCCTCGCCTGGAACCCCACCGTTTGTAAGGTGCTGGAGAGCCATTCTAATCTCGCTCAGATTGACATCCGGGATATCTTCGCAATACTGAATTTACAATTATTTAATACCAGCGACCCGCCCCAGCTTCTCTCCGATAAGATCAATTGATGTAGCGTTAATCAGATTTACGATAATTATGAAAGACCATTCATTTTAACAGTCTGTCGATCTCCTAAAAATTCCAAGTTTTTGGGACGAGTGATCGGTAAGCTCAATTTAGCTACGAACCACACACTTAATCTTATAAAATTGTTATAACCCTAATCGAAAACACTCTTTGGCATTCATTTCGATTGTCACTAGCGCCGTATACCTCTCCAAAACTGCGCTATCTTTAGCACATAGGAGTCGTCTGTGTTTTAAGCGCTAGACAACTTTTGAACTGACTGTGTACTTCGAAGTCATACGGCGCGGGTACCATCACTTATGACTAAATGAACAAAATACCTATCAGACAACTGAGTTAATGTTGCCAACACTATAAACCCCCTCACGAGCAACTCGTACTTCTCCATATGTACTACTGTCAGCACATAGGAGTCGGCCGAGTTTTAAGCACTGGACACCTTTTTTACCAATTATACGATTGTGTACTTCAGTCATATAGCACATGGAACAACCGGTCAATCGAGCAGCGGAGTAAGAATCGCCGTCGCCGCATATCCCCAAACATATCCAAAAAAACATGACTGTGCATGTAAGCGCATGTTAGTTAAGGTTAGCATTCATAATTTATGCCGAGCATGAAAAATAGGGACGTCATGTCACAACGAAAAATGTGTTTTTTTTTTGTCGAGATAAACGCATGCGAGCGTTTTTCACACATTTTCATTTTAACATTACGTACGTATTTCGCGTTGAAGAGAAATCGTTAATGAAAAACTTCGAAAAAGATTACTATTTGTTTTCAAATAACTTCGAATTTATTTCTTTTAACTATGAGTGCTCAAAAAAGCGTCGAAAGCCGTCAAGTTTGTCAAAATCGGTTGAATCCTTGTTTTGCCAGTGGAATAGTCAATTTTAAAAATTAAAGATACGTGGTTTTTCAAAATTATGGCTTTTTTAAGCTCTTCGACCATAATAGGTGGAATTTGGAGCGTTTTACGCTTTTTAGCGAGAGGTTCCAGGGATTGCCTGTAAGGTCAACCGTTTTCTAAATATACATTAATAACAACCTAAATTTATGAAAACATCTTGGTATCTTTAATAATCACAATTGTGATAGGGATAAATTAACAAAAGAAACCTTACTTACCCTCTGATCATTTGTGATGTAGATCCGGGAATGCTCTGTATAGTAACAGTGGCTTGTGGCAAATGATGTATTGTCCTTTGTCTCGTTGGTGGAACGGTAGAGCTAGTATAATAATGTACAGTACTGCCAGTAATGCGAGGCGGCGCTGCAATATGTGCCACAGGCACGCTGTGGACCATACCGCTAGTAGTTGACGCGACTGTTATGCACTTTGTATTTTGATTACCAGTAAACTGAAAAAATAGACAAAATATCATGATTGTATATTAGAGTATTATAGCAACATTTTACTTACTTCTATTATATACTTCATATTAAATAATACAAAGAACAAAAAGATACCACAAACACTAAGGACACTACAAAAATATCCGGCGTTTTTATGAATTCATTATGAGTTATGTAATGACGCAGTCGCACCTTTTTTAACGTATTTCAGGATAATTATTTCAGGAAAGATTTAACGACAAAAACTGGGATTGTGTTCGAAGGATCATTCTTTCCATCTTGTCTCATGCCGAACTTAATAAATATGTCTAGGTCCACCGAAGTGACATATCAATGTTATGGACATCATCACAGGTAGAGTGCATTTTCGCGTCGGTGCTTGAGTAATATTCTGCCGATTGATGACATGTAAAACGTCTTTTAAATAGAAAATCTGGTGTCATTTTTATTTCTTTCTTTCTTTTTCTTTCTTTCCAAATGTGGTGAATACGAAAGTCATCAAACTAAAAAGAAACTTATGTGGCAACACTGAACTATTAAAGGGCAGTGGATTATGTAAAAGTTTGACAAATATGCCAGAGCTACATAGGTCAATTACGATATTAGAAACTATTGAGAATGGCAGATGCTTATTTCTAAGAAAAAATATTTAGTTGCAAGCATAGCAAACTTAATGTAATAGACAACACTTGTAACTTAGGTATTAAATAATAAAACGTACACCAATTAAACAATGTAAATATTATATATGTACATTATCTGTGTTAAGTGTAGTCCCCAAATCGAATTCGTCTCCAACTAAGGTTATCGTGTCTGGATTAGCTCCTGTTAGTTTCTCAATTGTCTTTCTTGCATCAGCATCACTTTCTATATTGCCCAAATTTCTGCTTAGAAATTCTATATCGGCTTCAAGTAAGCCATCAACTAAATTATTTTGGTCATCAGCCGCTTGTTTACACAGAGAAAATGCATCATCATTTTCAAGTTTAATATCCTCCACTTTTATAGCTTCTACATTTATATCATCAATATTTTCGACTTTTATATCATTCACATCTAAATCTTCTACTTTGATTCCGTCAACTTTTATTTCATCAAGATCTTCAACTTTGATACCATCTACTTTAATGTCATCAATATCTTCTACTTTAATATCGGCAAAATCTGTATCTTCTTTGAGCATATTTGAAACGTCTGTATACTGTCTGCCTGTATCAGGATTCCTCATGTATTCACTGGCATTGAAATTATTACTATCGAAATTGTCGTGGCTCCCTAGTTTTATATCCTCAACCTTGTATTTATCTTCTTGGTCACTACTAGTAGACGGTTGAGGACTGTTAGCATTGCTTATATCACCACTTAGTGCTCTTTTAAGAACATATGCTTTTATTTTTCTTAACATAAAAGGAGGAACTTTGAATCCGGTCAATTCACCAAGCATTGGTAAGGAACTGTGTTTATAGGCCTCGCTGGTCGCAAGCTCTTCAATGTCTTCTAATACCTGAAATTACGAAAATAATTTATATATTCATGAGAATAGTTACAGTATTTAACTTTATCGTTAATCGAGCAGCGCAAACATAAAGACAACTTAAATAAATAAGCTCTTAATTTATTTTATTAATTGTTAGATCTTTGCTTACCATTATGTAAGTTTTTCCACCAACTGCATTAACCAAATTATGACTAGCAATCCATTCCTTATCAGCAGTATCTGCAGGATATCTGAGCAGACCAGCATGTCTGGTGTATAAGCGTCCTCTCGAATTACCCAATCCCAGAACCTAAAAACCAAGCACTATATTAGAATATTTATCTTTACATAATATATTTTTATCTTATTTATTAATTAGAAGAAAAGTTATGAAAGCACAGTAATCACCTTGTGAGCATGAGACCCCATAATAAAAAGTGTGTCTTGGGTTAACCTTGCGGGATTCCATTTTTCAGGATCTCTGAGAGCTGGTGCAGAAATAGGTGATGAAACACTATCAGGCATCTGTTCCTGCTTGATCTTTTTACATTTCAAGTCAGAGTCTATATCTGTTTCTTTTCTTTTACACTGCAGTGGAGTTTGCAACTGGAAATTGTATTATTCCGTTTAAAATACTATTGAACACAATGTGTAATTATATAGTTACCGAAGTTTTAACAAAAGAAAAACACTTACACCGGTTTGCTTAATAAGTCTTGAATCAACTGTAGATTCTGATTCACTAGTCTCATTTGAAGATACAGGCCGCGATGGTGTTGTATATAATAAGCGAGTTGCATCTAACATTGCACGGCATACTGCTCTCACCTAAACAGCGAAAACATTCGTTATCATCGCATCTAAGGCCGACATTTTCGATCGATTCGTATATAGTATTTTTAATGATTATTTTAAAAGTTGAATTGAAGGGAATTACATTATCGTTAACAGTTATGATCCGTCCAACTATAGGCCCCTTCTTCTGCATATAAATGACACGTTTGCAACCGGTAATATTCATTGCTACGCGGACCACAGCACTGGTGATACTTTATACACCGGCCGTGCCAATATTTCTCGGGAAAATGTCGCACAGTACCGGGACAAAATTGTATTTGAAGTCGAGACTTTGTTGAACAAAGTCTCGGACTGGGGTCGACTAAATCTGGTCCAGTATAATCCCCAAGACACAAGTTTACGCGTTTACCGCTAAAATGTACCCCTTCGTCGTATCTCCTCAGTTTCAAGACACTCCCCTTGTTGCCTCAGCCAGTATCGAAATCATATCACATCGAGTGACGTGCAGTTTCGTGGTCACTTGGAGGAGAAGGCCAAATTGGCCTCAAAAAAGGTTGGCGTGCTCAGCAGAGCGAGACAGTAATTCATACCGGCTCACCGCCTGCAACTTTACAGGGCACAGGTTCGGCCGCACTTGAAATACGTTCCCATCTCTGAGCTGGGGCTCCCCAGTACCAACTCCTTCCATTTTATCGCATCCAGCGCAGAGCTGTTCGAATCGTCAGCGACCGAGCTCTTTCCAATCGTCTTGACTCACTGGCACTACGAAGAGATGTTGCATCTCTTTGCGTATTTTATCGCATCTACCACGGAGAGTGCTCTGAAGAAGTGTTGGACTAATTCCTGCCGCACTATTTCACCATCACACATCGCAACAAAACTGGCGATAACATCCATACCATTTGGATGACTGACGGTCCACTACTGTGCGATTTAAAAGGTGTTTTCTTCCTCACACAACTTCCTTGTGGAATCGACTACTACCAGAGATTTTTCCGGACTGATACGACTTAGGGACCTTCAAGAAAAGAGCCTACTCTTTTTTAAAAGGCCGGCAACGGATCCGCAATTCCCCTGGTGTAGTGCAGTTGTTCATGGGCGGCGGCAATCACTTACCGTCAGGGGAGCCGCCTTTTGCTCCTCTCCTATTAAAAATAAGAAAGCCTTACAGTGGTATCGGAAAGGCGAGAAAGACATCATAACCTCCGATAGATAACGGTTACCCCATCTCGTATATAGCAAACATAAAATGTCCAGACCGACATTGGAAGCTATGTCAATGGTGCGAGACACTTCAATCGCCTTTCCGTCTGCTAGGCAATGTGTATAAGAGATCTGACTGCCTCTTTAGTTTAATGATCGTGGTTTGAGTCGGGCCAATATCAGTTTTTTGTCTAGAAATTCTCAGGTTATTAATGATCTGTGAATGACAAAGTTATAACATCAAAAAATATTTGGACACGACGCATAAAAAGAAACACAAAAAACTATCTATTTATTATGTGGAAATTATATTTTGATTAACCAAAGCTTTCTTTTCCTCATCAGTCCGTAAACAGCACATAGCTGGATATAAGCTCTACTGCAGTGATCCATCACCACTTAGTGATCAAAATGACAGTCCCTGGTCATGACATTTTAATGTCAGAAATAGGACGAGAATGTGAAACTTTCCTAGAATACAATACAGCAATTACACAATATGGTCGAGAAGAGCGATCGCTGCATATGCACCATACTTGTGGACAGTCGCTGCTTGTGGAGGCTGGTCTGCCACTGTTTTAACAAACCATATCACTGAATTTGCTTAGATCGGAAAAACTTTCTCACGTGAGACCAGCAGTGTAATTGTGTAACTCTGGTGGGTATCGTGGTTGGCTTCGTTTTGAAATTTTATGTTTGGTTTTGCTGTATTTTGTAAATGTATCAGTATACATTTTAAGGCGATGTTTATCTTTAAATTATTATATCTTATTTACAAATAGTTTACGATGTATATCACAATATAATGTAAAATACGGAGTGCGCCACTGGCAACATTTCCGAACAGAGTTACCCAATCGCATTGCAATACTGTTTTATTAAGGAGGTAAAGTATTAAGAAAAAAGAATTTTGACTCTTACCTGGTCTTCACTAACAGATTCATCTCCTAAGTTCAATCTTATGTTATTAACTGCAGGAACAAAGAATTTCTGCAACCATAGATTAGCAAAAGTTAACCATTATCTAAAACTTGTAACAGGATTTATGAATTCATTGCAATTTGATTAAAACTACTTTTACGGATTTTATCGCGTTTAATTATTTTATTTTAACACCCGACGTTTCGGGTACTTTCCAGCATCAATGTTCACGGGGGACTGAGGTGCCTGACATCCCGATGTCAATGTTAACCCGGAGTACCTTCAGCTTTTTAATAATTGTTTTTTATTAAAAAGAAGAGAAAAAAAAAAAAAAAAAACTAAAAATAAAAACCAACCCAAGAAGGCAACACGGTACGGTCCGGTGCTTTGAAGAAACCTAAAAAAAAATAAGATAAGTGGAATCGTCTCGCTTTCTTATGGAAAGATTTAATTACTTCCACGTAAAATGTTGGTGAACGTTTTAATTGTACCAATAACTGTTTTTAATTGCGATAATTGATGAAGTCTGAAATACACTCTTAACCTTGTGTATTATCTCAACAAAGTTTAAAGATTTCCTCTCCGATTATCACTTTAACACACTTCAATTCATCACAAGGAACACTATTATCCTCCATTTTCATTAAAAATCTTTAAAAAAAAGCTAAAATTTTGAACTCGTAATATTAAATCGCTTAAGATAAGCACACAGAGTAAATAAACATTGAAAATAAAATCAATGTGTAGTGTTCGCATAAATATAAGAAATCATCACTGCAATTTAGTGGATGTAGAAGATGTAGTAAGTGTAGAGTATGTACTAGTAAGGTCTTCCTATTCTGGTATTTAAAACTAACATTCTGATTATCACAATTTGGACATTTAAAACCAAATTAGTTTGTTAATATTTTATCTTTAGCCTTATTCTGTGGTAGTTAGTGTATATTACAAACATTTCTTCGATGGCTTGCAGTTGATAATCTATATGCATAACTATGATGGTTTTTCTTTTTTAATTTCGATTTATTTTCACAGTAAATATGGTCTAATTTCCTATACACTCACCACACAAAACACAGCAGCATTAATAAAGCTGCAACATGACTCTAAAGTTAAAGTAAAGTAAGTTACAGCCTATATACGTCCCACTGCTGGGCACAGGCCTCCCCTCATTTCTGATAGGGTATTAGGGCAAGTAAGTGTCCGCCACGCTGCCCCAATGCGTGTTGGCGAACTTCACGTCTTCGAATTTTTTTTTATTATTTGTCAGACTGAGGAGACGAGACAGAGGTTTCCTCACGATGTTTTCCTTCACCGCCGAGCACGTGGTAAATCGTGCCGGCGGGGATAAAACCGGTATGCTCGCATACTGTGAAATTTCACAGCAAGCGCTAACCATTTGAGCTAACACAAAATGACCTCTTATATGACTCTACCAATAAAAAATGTTTCTGTATTGGAAGTCGGATAACGGACGATAGTTTAACGTGACAACGTCATAACAAAACACTGATGAAATGATTGCATACTTTGTGGGAGAGAGATAGATGCGGCACAAGCCGAAAGCTCAAGCCGATTGTGCCTTTCGCTCGCTCGTGCAGCGCTCTCGCTCCGATCGTAAGGTTACAACTTACAATGAGCGTAACGTTACAATAAGCCTTTATCGTGCGTGCAGCCGGCGTTCATCGATTTATTAGACGTTGTCACGTCAAAAAAAATTAAATTTAGAATTAAATTATGTGAAACACTTCTTAAAAGCAACTGATTCAATGCATTGTGTACAGAATATAGGTAGTTTTATTTTCATACATACCTCCAGGTACTTTTTAATAACTTGATCAATTTCCCTTGTAACAGCTGACTGGATTGTTTGACGCAACATGTCCAATGATTTGTTGGCACTAGCACGAAACTCAGCTATTGGTCTAGAGTGTGGCTGTACAGGCCCTGGGAGGCTGAAGCGCCTATGCATAGTTGCTAGGGTGTTAATTGCTATTTGTCTTGAAATTGGCTGTTTCTGTAATATATTATTTTACAAATAAAAATAATAAATGCTAAATCACTACATATGTACTACCACATATAGTATGGATTTTTAAATTTTACATACAATTTTAGAAATTAATACCTCAGCTATTCATAAGAATATACTAGGTTGATCAATAACTTTTCGGACACTGATCTATGGATTATAGAAATGCATTCCATTTCTTTGAATCTTAAATTCAAAAGTAGCCAAGTTCAAGCCCAGGGGTATGAAAATCCTCTTGTTTAGACGTTGATACTAGCACCATCGCACAGTTATAAAAAGCATTATTATCCCTACTATTACTACACATTTTACTCAAAAGACGGCACCACTGCTATCAGTTATTATTTATAACGAAGCCTTAATCACGATATCAAAGTTTTGAAATACATTGTATTACAAAACCTTTCTCATAGTCCACATACACACGGCAAAGTTACAGATTGTACTCTTCGGTTTTCTGTACAATTTGCCGCATAGTATCTCAACGACCAACAAAAAGCTTCAGATATAACATTCTTTAAGTTACCGAAGGATTTTAGTACGAAGTTATGAAAGGTAAATTTATTTCAGATTTTTTTGTTAGATAGGTAGTTATAGCACAAAATAATTGTCTACAGAAGTAATACTTAAGTAGGTACTTTATTACAAAACTTAGTTGAAATTTACTTCACTATCCAAGTACCTACTTACAAACCTATACTTGTCTTTTGTAATTACAGCACAAAATACTAAATTTAAAACTGTTTACTAACAAGATTTTTAACGAAGTAGAAGAATCTAATTTCGGGTTTATTTGTTGTTTGCACTATCTACCTATTTTTTCCGAGCCATGCATCGCGATTCACGACGAATGGCTTTGCAAGTTGCATGTGTTGGGAATCATAGAACTCACATAGTAGCGAAAATATGATGAGTCAAATATGTATCATAGTCAGAATAGATAAGTACTTTACCTTTTTTTAACTTATTATAAAGCCAGTGCTTGACCACAATCCTACCTGGTGGTGATGCAGCCTTAGATGGTAAATCACATTGTCTGGCGTAACAAAAGCCTATTCACTCTTGCCTTGAAGACGCCCAGATTATATTCGGACGGAAAGATAGACGCCGGCAAATTATTCCACTCCTTTGCTGTACGCATTAAAAAAGTCGAAGCAAACCATTTGGTTCTAATGCGTGGAATATCGACAACAAAGGGTGAAGACCCGCCAAGCGCCTGATTGACCAATTTGAAAAGGAGAGGGAGGAATTAAAGCGTGCAATTCCTGCGCACACTCACCAAAGTACCTCCAACTACTTTCTTAAGTAAATTACCATTTCGCAAGGTATTTTTTTACTCTTTACTGACAGCCCTTAGTAACCACGGAGTCCGCCGTGACGTAGAAAGAGTAAAATATACAAAGTAATACGGACACTCGCGCAAAGCGATAATGATTTATTTAACTTGCGTGCGCGATTTATCTAAATAATAATAATTATTATTTAGGCTATTAAAACGTCGGCAAGCAGTCAAGATCAAAGGACTGTAACTTCTGTACGTAGTACTAATTTTTATTCTGTGCCAAGGACAGAAAAAACTAAATTGAAAACTATGCCATTATTTTTTTTTTCAAATTATGTAATTATGTTTACATAATTCTGCTTGAAAAATTGGAATTACAGCGGAGCTTCTGAAAGCGGGTGGAAAACCAACACTTGAAGTCCTTCAGAAGCTCTTTAATTCCGTCCTCCATGTTGGGATTACACCAGAAGCGTGAAGCAGAAGAGCGGTGGTTTTGTTTTTCAAGAAAGGCGACAACGCTCTCTTGCCGCGCCTACGTGCTGTTCTCGAGAGTCATTACGATTTCGTTTTGCACCCAGACTCTATGACTTCCAGCCTTTCGAATAAGCCGGTTTCCGAAAAGGCTTTAGTACCCATAAACCACATACATACTATGCGGCAAATTGTACAGAAAACCGAAGAGTACAATCAGCCACTTTGCCTTGTGTATGTAGACTATGAGAAAGCTTTTGATTCCGTCGAAATGCGGACGGTGCTACAGTTCCATCAGTGGTGCCATGTTGACTGTCATTATATCAAAATGCTAAAGTGTTTGTAAAGTAGTGCTACGATAGCTATCCAAGTACAGAACCAGAGTACGAAACTTATACAACTGCTGAGAGGTGTAATACAGGCGACGTTACATCCCCGAAACTCTTCACCGCTGCATTGGAAGAAATTTTCAAGCTACTGCACTGGAAATGATACAGTATTTACATCAATAGCGGGTACATCACTCATCTTCGATTTGCCGACAATATAGTCCTTATGGCAGAATCGCTGGTGGTTAGGTCCTACCTATGCTCAATGACCTAAATAGTGTCTCTCAACTGATAGGTCTTAAGATGAACATGGACAAAACGAAGATCATAAGTAACGTCCATGTCACACCTATGCCAGTAGTTGTTGGTTCTAACTAAATTCGAAGTTGTTGACAAGTATGTTTACCTGGAAAAAATAGTCCGACTAGGTAAGTCCAACTTCGACCGAGAAGTCAATTGACGGATTCAACTCGCCTGGGCAGCGTTGAGGAAATTACGAGACATATCTTCTCGTCAGATATACCTCAAAACTTGAAAACTAGACAGTACAACCAGTGCATGATGCCAGTGAGATCTGAGACATGGTCATGTTGGAAACCGGTAACATTCACTGCTATGCGGACGACAGCACTGGTGATGCTTTGTACACCGGCCGTGTCAATATTTCTCGGGAAGACGTCGCCGAGTACCGGGACAAATATGTGTCTGAAGTCGAGACTTCGTTGAACAAAGTCTCGGAATGGGGGCCACTAAATCTAGTCCAGTTCAATCCCCAAAAGGCACAAGTTTGCGCGTTTACAGCTAAAAAGAACGCCTTCATCGTATTTCCTCAGTTTCAAGGCACTCCCCTTGTTGCCTCAGCCAGTATCGGAATCCTCAGCGTCGACATATCGACTGACGTTCAGTTTCATGGTCACTTGGAAGAGAAGGCCAAATTGGCCACTAAAATGTTTGGAGTGGGGCAGTATTTCATGCCTATACACCGCTTGCAACTTTACAATACCATTCCCATCTCTGGGCTGGGGCTCCCTAGTGCCAGCTCCTTCCATTTGATAGTATTATGATTTATACAATAAAATATAATATACATGTTTTTCTCATCTAAATGTATATATTATTGTAACATTAGTGCTAAAAGCGAAGTATAATAGTAATTAAGGTAGTTTTTAAAAAAAATGGCGGAAAATAGCAGGAGTTGCAGCAATGGATGATAGTTACTGACAGTAAATATTTTACACATAATCGGGATGGATGGTTTGACTGCTGAGCGTATATACTTATCCTAGAGTTTCATTATGTTTCCAAAATTTATTGATCAACCTAGTATGTAAATCGATAATTCATAGCAGAGAAAGGCGAGTAATATACAAAAATTTTATCATAGTCGCGCTTATAATGTGTTATTTAAATGTGACTGTAGAACAGTACAAAAACAGCAAGTGCATTATTTTATAGTAAATACAAACGAAGACTATAGTGATACTGACTCCAGTATTAAGCTACACCTCTCAACTAGCCTTAATTATTGATTTTTGTTAAGCAATTCTGAAAAAATCGCACCAAAAAGCAAAAAGCTTTATCTGCGTGCTCGCATGTATAATGGTCAGTGATACGTAAATACAATGTTTAACAAAAATATTGATCTTTACTCCATCTAAAAAGTCCATGACATCACACACCTATTTCTTATTCATAAGCCGCTATTAGGTATTTTGTGATAAAAAATATTGAAAAATAAACATTGATTTTACGCGTTATTATTAGGCATTACTTATAAATCCTTACGAAGGAACTTTACTTCTTCATCAAGACAATTTCATGAAGATACATTTTGCTCTTTCTTTATAGCATATTATTGGATGCATAGTTTAAGAGATAACAAAAAATTAAAATAATTCAACACTCAGCTAGGCGCCCATACAACGCATAACCTAGCCACCAGATGAGTACCGAGAGAAACAAGCAGTGAACACCTCGCGAAATGTCATGTCATGCGATTCCGACAATTGATATATGCGGGTGACCACCACAACCATAAACACACAAACCACAGGTAACAGCTAGTCTTATAATAAGTGGGGATAGAATGTCTGGAATTCACAACTTGATGCTGGTAACATTGCGGGACGGAAAGCTAGTTCAATATAAAATAGTACTAGTAGTAGTAGCTTACTGACACAGCCTAAGCCATCTACACTAACAATGATGTAAGGATAATAAACATAAAAATACATTCAAGCTAAAACTAAACCCTCTATAAATATGTTTATAAAGGATTGAGTTTTAGCTCTTATAATCAGATCATCACAAAAACGAATGTCAAGTTAAAAGTGCTTCACATGTTGCTTTGTAGTAATGCAGTACATACATATCAAGTGTCAAAAACTATTAGTTGTTTTATGAAAACTATGAGTTTCTGAACGCTGAAACTTTGAACACATATATATTAAAAAAGTAAATTTTTCGAACAGTAGTTATTGGAAAGTCCTACCTTTGGGTTGTTAATCTAAGCATGAGCCCTGTTGAATATTTACCCCGACTCAATATATATTTATTCAGCCATTACGATTATTCTAATAGGCTCTCTTAATTACACTAAATAACACAAAAATAAATAATTTATCAATTTACAAAATGTAGCACTTTCCTGCATAAAATGCTCTAAAGGAAAATTTAAATATTTGATAAATGGAAAGCTTACCGTTTGCATATTAGAAGTGAAATTTCCTCGATTGATTAGTGTTTTAACTGGTGCTTGACAATTCCAAGAACTATTTAGTGAGTTTTCAGTATTTGTATTATTTGATACCTCAACATTATTCCAAGTCTTCTGAATAACCATTTCGAACTATTTACATAAAGTTAAAATTAATAGAAATAGCAAATGAAGGTTTATTATTTTGAAAAAACATTAACATTTTTATTCATTAGTAAAATAAATTAATTTGTGATTTATAATCACAATCAAAATCATAAAATATCTGGAAAAACTTCTTATTTCGATTCGATTTTAGCTTTTTTTTTTAAACATTTTAGCTTGGATGATTGCTTTTTAAGCTATGTCTTCATTTCAATATTGATTTTCGTTAATGTTACCTACTTCAAGAACTATAAGATAAAAACATAATCCGCTGCCAAATGTATTGCAGAAAGAAAATCCATACTTTTCTATTAATATGTCTTAAAAAGAGCCGTGGTAGCTCAGATGTTTAACACTCGCTGTAAATATAACAAAACGCCAGTAACCCGGGTTCGATCACCGCCGGCACCAATGACATTTTTAGTTGTTATTTTAAGTGCTGATTTACCGCGTACTCGGCGGCGAATGAAAACATCGTGAGGAAACCTGCATGTCTGAGGAATAAGGACAAAAATATTTCAAAGACATGTGAAGTTCGCCAACACGCATTGGGGTAGCGCGGCGGACACTTCCTTGCCCTAAAACCCTCTCAGAAATGAGGGGAGGCCTGTGCCCAGCAGTGGGACGTATATAGGCTGTAACTTTACTTTTTATGTCCTAAAAATATGTCCAAATTTAACGACTAAACTGCTAAACTAATTTTGAAAACATTGAGATAGTTTGATGTCTGGTTAAGTTAAAAAGGTAAATTATCACAGCTAAGTAGGCTTTAGATTAGACTATTTTTTATCCTCAAAGGAGCAAGAAATGGACATGATTTCGGTTTCAAATCTATTACAAATAATGTATATTTACCAAATAATATTTTAACTTGAAGCGACAGTAGCCTAATGGAAGGGCGCGGACCGCAAACTCAAAAGGTCGTGGGTTCCATCCGCCATTCGACTACTGGCGTGAACCACTCGTAACACAAGCAATTTAAGCTTACCATGAGTGGTTAAGGGGAATATTAGTGATGTTTATAACATTTTTCATATTCTTTTTAAAAAAATTATTATTTCCAGAAGATTATTCTAGAAGAAAGAAAAATCATTGTAATAAGTGTCCTCTGTATCCAGTAACGTCACTATATATTTACGAATATGTTAATGATTGACGACGTGCCTAAAACGGATTTTTAACTTATATTTCGTAATAACGGGGAATGGTTAAAAAATTCAGCGTAGTATTGCTATGTTTCACTAGAAGGCGTAACACACGTGCGAGCTCACAGTTTTGTATGCAAAAGTTCAAAATGGCCACTCTATAATACATATATTTAAATTTCTTTGTTCATAACAATATTTACCGTAGATAATGAAAGATGTGATGATTTTTTAACTTTCATTGTAATGTGATATATATACAACGGGAATAAATTTTTGAACCTTTATTAATTTGTAGTAATGTCCTCCAAATCGACCTTCAATCACGGACGCTAGTATCACTAGAGACAAGCCATCTACTTAGGACAGGTTTTTATAGTGTTCGATTGTATGCACCAACACAAACAGACTCTACTCCCTCATTCTGATAGTTCGATAGGATGGAAATCCAAAAGGAACTATACTTAGAAACTACTATACATTATATATTCTATTTGTTCAATAAAAATGTATATACATGGTAGAGCCATGCTGCAGTTATATAGTAGTATAGTTGTAGCACGAATGGATCAGCTAGACCGGGAAAGAATCACGCACTCACAGAATACTAGTGTAAAATAGTAGCTGAATGCTGCTGTGTTTCTTATGGTGAGTATAGAGAACCGGAAACCTTTTTTACTAAAAACGTGACATTTCATCTTAGTCCTCATGGGTGACAAGACAACGCATCTGCATTCTGATACGTAATCGAGGATAGATGAGATGTCTATGGGCCATAGCAACCACTTACCTTTAGGTGGACTTTGTACTCGTTTGTCACCCTATGTTATTAAAAAATGTGATTTTATTTATATCATTTTTTCAGATGTAAGCAATAGGTGAAATTAGTTTGGAATGAAGACCTGACAGATATACCAATTGATAAACTTTACATGTTACAATATATTTGTGGCAAACATTGCAAATCCGAGGATTTAAATCATATATATGATAATTAGATTTCTTTTACATCATTATAAGTAGTAAAAGATAATATCTCCCTAAAATCACATTTTGGTAAGAATTCGATTATATAGCTAGACTTGAAGTTATTTCTAATTACCTTATTATAAATATTTACTGTTTTTTAATAGATTCATCAACAAACATTAGCTATAATGAGCACTAATTTTGAAAGTGATCATTAGTAAACGATATCTGCGAGTAATATGTACCCCTGTGAAGAAGCCTCGTGATTTATTACACTTAAAATCAAATTAATCCAATCAGTGTTAAAAATAAAATAAAGGTTGACCCATCAGGCCATTCCTGGAACTTCCCGCTAATTTCAAATAGAAAGCGCTCAAAATTTCACCAAATGATGACGTTGAATATGAAATATCGGAGTAATTTAATAAAATCAATTTTTCAAAATTTTTCGTTAACGATATGTCACAAGCGAATCAACCGATTTTGACTGGATTGGCGGCGATCGACTTGATTTTTCAAGTTTAAAATCTGATTAGTTTTTGGAATCAATCGGTAAAGCCGTGTAAGAGTTATTCCAAAAATCAGTTTTTCAAAATTTTTATTTAAGAGATTTCTCAAAATTAAAAAACAACTTAAACTAATGTTAAAAACAAGCATCCAGACGGACACTATTTATTTTACAGCACAGAAATACTTGTTCAGAATGGGAACGAACCCTCGGTCCTGCGGTGCCGCAGCCAAACGCTTAACCACTGCACTACGGAGACGATATTTATTTTTGCTTAATTAAATACTAGTGTAATTGGGCATGCATTTGTCAGCATTTTTACTCAATCCCCACGTAAAACTTGTATTTCTTATAGATCCATTCAATATACAGATCTAACTTTTATTACCTATATAATAATATCGATAAACAATATATCAATAGAATTATTCGAGGATAGACATTTGCAGCCCTATATATTTCGCATATGTTGTCAGCAAAAATTAAATGTTAAGACATGTCTTAATGTTGGTAGAGTAGTTTGAAGCCCTTTCATACATTTACTTTTAGAATTTTACTGTGACTTACTAAGGAAGTCCCGCCTCTAAAACTTCAAAAACTCTCCACAACAGTGCTCGAGTATCTACAGGGAATGATAAATCGCCGTAAAATACGTTGAGAGTGATTTTGAAAATAAAAATTATGAAAGCAATAAAATAATTATTGTGAATAGAATTATGGTGAAAGTCTGTGCAATAAAAGAATTATAAAAAGTTCTTTAAAATTTAGACTGTAGCTACAGTGGCGCCACGCATATTTAGCGCTTTCAAACGGACACCTTTTTAGACAGAGTCTGTACTCTTTACCTCTACACTCCATATTATCTATGCTGTCTTCTGTCTGTGCGCACAGAGTACTTTTTATATACTTAAACATTGAAGTTAGCATAGAGATATTATATACCCATACTTTTAAGCCAGTGGAGTTTGGAGTGTAAAAGAAAGGAGTACCAACTCCCATAGTAGAATAGTTGAAAAAGTGGTCATCTGTAAGCAGTAAATAATAGTTCAAAAACTCTCCACAACAGCGCTGGAGTAGCTACTGGGATGAAATGAACTTAGCAGTTTCGACGGTTTGAAGTGTGCTGCTAAACTGCTCAGTAGGTCTAAAATCTAAAATAATTTTATTTACTAATATTATTTTTCGGTGCGTTCTTTAAAATTTACCCCGTAGCTATATAGTGGCGCCATCTTGTTTAAAGTTTTTTTAATGGACACTTTTTAATACACAGTCTGTACACCTTACTTCTACACTCCACACAGTGGAGGTTAGAGATTTAGAGATACTGAAACTGGTCTGCTGGGGGTCTGTGGTCAGGGTTCCGCTAATTTTTAAAGCTATCGATACTTACTCGATACCAAGTATCGATTCAAAAGTATCGTTATTACTTGGTATCGAGTAATATTTATAAAATGAAAATGAAACTATATAAATATAAAAATGATTCAATTTTATATTTATTCAAAATTATGTTACAAAATTTTGTAACTAACAACTAATTACTGAACCCCCAATTTTATATATGTTTACCCTTATATTTAAACAGTACATGAAATAAAATTTATTTGGATCAAGCTCATTCAAAATGATCGTTTTCTTCTTTGAATCACCAGAAATATTTCAACAGAATAGCACATTATAAGAATAACCAGATAATGCCAATACGTCATCATAGATTCTTATAAGCTCCGTTATTTTCTTTTTAATATATGTTATTACGAACTAAAACAATTAATTTTATCCGCAAATACTGTTTTAAACTGTACGTGAATGTTAAATCTGTATTTCGATTAACCCCATACCAATCTGATGGTCTTCTGATTTGGATTTTCTGATAAATTTTTTAACTGATAAATTATCATAATAACCATTATGAACTCATTAGTAATCTCTTTACTAAAATAATAAGTTGGAATGGCCTTGTCTGAACAATCCGATTTTTCGTTCACGTACCAGATAAAATCCAAAGAATCTATTATTATTATTCTTCAATGTAATGTATACGGAATTGCTATTTAAAAAACTTCCAATCAAACATTGTATTTTATTTTCTTAACAAAAATAGTCTTCTACTCTGATTGTTTAAGACTGATAGGTAAACTTTACTTAAACAACAAAAATACACAAATAAAACACATATAAATCCAAATATTTTGCGTTGATTCCATTGTATATAATATTCATTCATCAAAATTACGAGATATTGCTAGTAAATATTTAAAATATATTTACCTGGATACACATGAATTATTTCAACTATAATAGGGTTTTCCCCCGTAATCCTTAATCCATCGAGAGGAAAGACGCTATATATCGGAAAAGCAAGTCTATCTACTGACTTTAATTTAACAGTTTAGTGAAGCAACAAAAGTATAGAGCTCTTATTAGCTATAGACCAAATTTTTGTATGGAAGATTGTCGTCTGTACGTTAGTACTCTTAAAGTGCACGCAAGATAACTCTGCGCGCGACTGATGGCGTGCTTAATGTTGCCAGCTTAACTAATATTTTTTCCTTCGTTTAATCTTATTACTGGAATTGTATAATTATATCAAATTACATAAATTACCTAATTGATTACCAAATCTCAATTAAAAAAACTGTAATGTTCAGCCTAAACTTACAAAGACCTAATAATTTTTTAAACCCCATATTTATTGTTTAAGATCCGCGTAATAAATATATATCTTGATTCTAACTTTCATAAGTTTGATACCTCACTACACAAGTTTAACCACGCCACTACAATTTTTTTTACACAATTACAGGTACCTATTATATGCGTGTATAAAAAGGACTAATACTAAGATTAATGACTACTGATATTTTGTCTATAATAAATTTTTCCAAAAAGGTATTTTGAAACAACTGAAATAGCATTATAATATTTATTATAAAGAACGAAATAAAAAGTCCAAGGAAACCTTGTAAATCTTTTATTGAATACCTATTATTATTTATAAATTTGGTGTAACAATGGTCCTGCAGTGGATCAACGCCTTCCATTCGCATATCTTCATCAGAATCCATGCTAGAGTCTTCATCAGATGACTCGGATGTGTCACCTGTAACATTAATTACAAATTCATCCATTTCCATATCCATCAGCCTATCTGATTGGAAATATTTATCTTCTATTTTCTCTACATGTTGGCATACGTTGAACCATTCTTCTGTCGTTACTGTTCTAAACGCCGCCTCAGTAATAGCAGCTATTTCGCTAGGAGCTTGAGTGATATTTTTCTCTGCAATGCGTCTCTTTACTATTGCCCAAATTTTTTCTATGGGATTTAAATCGCAGTGGTAAGGCGGCAAACGGAGAACCTCATGTCCATATTCATTTAGCATTTGATCTATTTCGTACTGTGGGTTTCCTTTGTATTTTTTAATTAATTCGTATAATTGCGCTTTTGTCCAACAGTCTTCAAATGTAATACCATTTCTCGTAAGCCATCCTTGGAGCTCTGCTTTTATATTGCCAATTGTAGGCGCCTTGTTGATCTGTGTGCAGTGGTATGACGCATTATCCATCACTACAATGCAATTCGTTGGAAGATTCGGCACAATTTTTTCTTTCATCCACCGCATGAAGTTAGCTGAATTCATATCGTCATGATAGTCTTGGACATGATGGTCTAGATTTGGAGTTAGACCTGAACAGCAGCAGTCCGTTTTCAACAAACCCAGTTTTACCTCCACCATGGGCTATTATCCATCTTGCACCGACGCTATCAGAAGCAAGAATACCAGGCTGTTCCTTCGATTGCCAACATTTTTGAAGGTGGTATGAAGCACGTTTCGTCAGCATAAATTACCGGTCGATTTTCTTCCTGACGATTCTTGCGCAACCTCAGAATATATTTTGCTCTCCAAGCTGCAATATCATTGCGTTCTACCAATATTTTTCGTTTAGACTGGCACCTTTTGTATTTGTAGCCCATAGTCTTTAAAATACTCCTCAACGATGATCTGCCATATTTAAAACCAATATCAGTTTTCAATTCCAACCAAAGTTAATTTATGGTAGGAATCTCCTTCTTCACGACGTAAAATGATTGAATTAAATGCCTTATAGCGCACATATCGAAATCGTCTAAATCATAAATTTTTTTCCTTCGGTTTCTAGTTTTTCCCGGCGTCACAATTTTAGAAGATGAAGCTTCTGCTATATTACCCTCTTGACTTATCTGGGTGACGGTGCGTTCAGAAACACCTAAAACAAAATAAAAACAATGCATTATAAATACATGATATTAATGACAAATTAAAAAGGAACAAATAGAGAAAATTGGGGAATTTTATTGTAATGGCATCCCTAAAAATTACCTGTTAAATATGCAACGCGGGCTCTAACTTTGGAAAACGGTACTATAGGCCCGTTATTGTCTCGTACTTCTTTACAAGCACGTTTGACCTTCAAAATAACATCCCTGCCAGCACTTTTAATCACTTTCGGCATAATGTAACGATTAATTACTGCAAAAAGAATAAAAACAGGACACCTACCACTCTGTTTAAGATGGCGGCACACGATTAGTTCCAATTTTGGCCGCGCGCAGAGTTATCTTGCGCGCACTATAATAATTTGTGTCACTATCTGTGGTTTTTCTGTATATTTTACTCTACTCTATGCTGTGGTCACAGAGTACTTTTTGAATCACTGACTTAGAAGTATATCTCTATGATTACTATTACCTACAGTGTTGCCAGATCTATAGGTTTTTCCTCAATCTAGAGGTTTTTGGAGGACGTTGAGGTTTTTTTAGAGGTTTTAATATCACGAAATTAATCTAAAGGTTTTTCTGAAGGTTTTTCAGTAGTCTTACCAACTTCCAAATTCTTTTTCAAAACAGACAATGCAGACAATTCATTATCGATATAAAATTTCGATATGGTAGTATCGCAATTAATTTGTTCATCTTATACTCATAACTTTTTCTATATTGATGTATTTAACCTACATGTGTGCATAAAATGTAATAGTGTTGGAGATTTAGATTTTTGTGTGCCTTAGTGACACAAAATTTTATTTAGTAGGTGTGCAGTACTGTCTATGTAGTGTTTCTTCTCCCGCACCAAAAGTGAGAGACTTTTTGTTCGTAGCATTAGGCGCAGAACTCGTCCATTGAGTTGAATGGTCTAATTACGTAGCTTGTATGTGGTAGAAACTTTTTATTTTTGATAAATCTGATTCACACGAAACTTGACCGATAAAAAATTCAGAGGTTTTTTAGCCCCCTACATAGGGAAACTAGGGGTTTTTTGGAAAAATCTAGGGGGGAAGGTGAAAAAAATCTGGCAACACTGATTACCTACCTGAAAGCTATGGACACTGACCAGTGTTGCCAACTGCACCGTAATTACGGTAAAAACACCGTAATCAGCATAGATCTACCACCTACCGTAGGATTATAATTACGGTAGCAAAATACACCGTAATACCCAATGAAGATCGTATCTAAATATGATTATCTATAAACTAAAATAATTTTAGCGAGTTTGATTGTTTACTTTCTTTACGTTACAGTATTTTCCTTTTATTCTACCGACAACACTGTTTTATGCGTCGGGAAATCCCCCAATAGCGTGGTACCAGCTTGGAGATATTATGCGAACGAATTCGGGGGGTGCTGTATGTATTTGAATTTCAATGAATACTTAGAGCTTTTTAATTTTCCTAGTTTATTTGTATCATAAACGAGATACGACTAACATTTCATTAATACTTAAAATTACGTAAGAGTTTGTTGTGTTGTGTTGTGTTGTGTGTGATCTGAGTGTTTAAAAATATGGAGAGTGATGGCGACAGCGCTACTGATCGAGAAGATAGCTTAACACGAGTACCGGCTAAGAGAAAGCGTTATAAGCAGAAGTTTCGGGAAGAATGGTTGCTGAATAAAGAATATAGTGACTGGCTAAGAAAGGATAATAGGGACTTATCGAAGGCGGTCTGCAATGTTTGCAATACATCTTTCAGTGCCGAAATAAGTGTAATAAAACGCCACAAAGAAGGAACTAAACACGTGAATAATTTAAAGAGGTGTAGTGCTTCAACGTCCAAAAAGCAACAGTCTATAGTAAGCGTTTTTAAATCCATGCCAACTAATGAAAAGCAATTGGTAAAGACTTCAGAAATAAAATTAGCTGCTTTTGTTGCTGAGCATAAGGTATCTCATAATGTCATGAATCACTTAGCAGATTTGTTACCAAAGTTGTTCCCAGATTCTCAGATAGCCAAAGATATTAGATTAAAAAGAACTAAAGTTCAAGCTGTGATAAATAACTGTATTGGGGAAACTGAAAAAGAAAACTTGATCAGTGACTTGAAATCACAAATGTTTTCAATTTTGATAGACGAAAGCACAGATATTGCTGTAGTAAAAACAGTAGCTGTAGTGGTCAGGTATTTTGATCCAATGATTGGTAAAGTTATCACTCGGTTTTGGAATTTGATTCAATTATTTGATGAGAAAACCACCGATCATGTTGCAAATGCCGAAAAACTTTTTAATACTGTTATAGGTTCATTTCAAAAGTATGAGATTCCTACGGAAAACATCATAGGTTTCGGCTCTGATGGATGCAACACAATGATGGGATGTAACAATTCAGTTTCAAGTCGATTTCGTCAACGTTGTCCAGGCATAATTGTGATCAAATGCATTTGCCATTCTCTGCATCTTTGCGCTAGTGACGCATGTAAAGAGCTTCCACTAAATTGTGAAAAAATGGCGCGAAATATTTATAATTATTTTAAATCCAGTAGTAAAAGGCAGAGTGAGTTGAAAGAGTTCCAGTATTTTGCAGAGGCGGATGTGCACAAAATTCTAAGACCAGCCCAGACTAGATGGTTGTCTTTAAATGCAGTAGTGTAAAGGATTCTGGAACAATGGGATGTATTACGTCTTTATTTCAATAGCAAATGGCTGGAAGAATCGGAGTGCCACGATATTCATGCATGCCTGAATGATCCCATAATCAAGGCTTATTACTATTTTTTGGCTTGGATGTTGCCAAAATTTACAACATTAAATAGCTGTTTTCAGAGCGAATCTATTTTAATTACGAAACTACATGGGAAAATGACAGCTTTTTATAAAGAACTGTTACTATTGGTTTTACACAGAAATTATGTAAATTCCGCTCCTATTGAAACTATAGATCCAATGACAGAAATAAATCACAAGGACCTAAAAGACATATATCTAGGTTTAGGTGTCCAGAAAGAACTAGATTCTGTTGAAAATGAAGAAAGAAAGTTAACTCTCAGAAAGATGTGTAAAAATTTTATTATTAGAGCTTGTGTGGGCCTTCGTAAACGATACTGTTTTAATGACAAAATTATGACAGAAATAGCAAAATTTGATCTAGAGAAAGTAATTTCTGATGACAGGGAAGAGTCAGTTTCGTCGTTATTTCCATTACTGCCCAGAATTGCCCCAACTTCAATCCAACATCAACAAGAACTAGATGATGAGTGGCGGAAGTTGCCGTTATACTACAAAGATTTGGATTTAAGTCAACCCCCCTGACGTATTTTGGCACCAGGTAAGTTTCCATGTAAACTCGAAGCAACGTGAATTCATATTGGTTTCTATTGTTATAGCAGCCTAATCATTTTTTTTTCAGGTCGCAGAACTGCGTGACCAACATCGAGAAGGGAATACCTATTTCCAACACTTGCCAAAATTTATGTTGGCCATTTTGTCTCTGCCACACTCGAATGCTGAGTGCGAAAGAGTCTTCAGCAGAGTTAACGATATAAAAACAAAAAAAACGGAATAAACTCCTAACGAAATCCATCAAGGGAAATCTCTTATCGCAGCAAGCCATACAGCGTCACGGAAAAAACTGTGTTGATTTTAATCCCACTCACGCTATGATCGCAAAACATAACAATGATATGTATAAAAATATTGAAACAATTATACTGTCCGATTCTGATTAAAAATATGTTTTTTTTTTAACTCTGACCCATAACATGCTACTAAATAAACAAGGTAATTCTACCGTATTTCAAATATATATTACAACATAATTTCGAAAATTCTACCGTATTTTTAGAAGAATTCTACCGTCCGCTAGATTTCAGATTTGGCAACACTGACACTGACTGACAACTGGCTGTGGTGTTAGTAAGAAGTGATAAGTGCTGACGCGTTGAATTTATAAGGTTTGTACTTAATTAGTATTTTACATTAGATTATTGAAAATTTTTAAAGCTTTTGACTGTTCTACTGCGAAATTGCGTAAATGTATATTTTAATTTAGTTGTGCTTGCTAAATTAGTATATTTGAACTTTGTACTATATAGTACAAACAAGTTTGCAAGGTCTAATTCTGAATTAGTATTCATGGTTTATAAAATAAACCGTCATTATGTACTAGTTGCTCAGTAAACTAAATCAGTATTTTTGAAACCTCATCCTCCACATAAAATATGTATGTGTATACATACATATTTTAATAATTTAGTAAGTAAAATTGGTGGAACTCTCACCTTAGCAACATAATATGTCATAAGGCTACAATTGCTTTAGGTACATGCAGTCTTATGGTTGGGAACAACTGGGGTTGCTGTCCAAGAATGATCCTATGGCTGTACAGCAGCATAGTGATTTTTATCTACACCTCCATTGTTTGGTTTAAATAATTAGGACAACCAAAAGACAACTGCAGTCAGTCTAAATAGTCTACATAGGAATGCCTGTTTAATGGCAACTGGAGCAATGCCATTATAGCCTGGAGCGGCTCTTAATGTAATTCTATACCTAATGGCCCTTGATCTTTATTTATACAAGGAGGCTAGGGCTAGTTTGTATAAGATTAACACTCGGTGCAGTCTGAGCTTGCTTTCCTGCAGATTGAGGTCCATTTTCAACATAATAAATGTAACGCTGACGTTATGCATGATCTCAGATATCAAGTGTCTAAAAATATAAACACTCACGCCTGTCACCCAGAGGGGTAGGCAGAGTTCACGGACTTCGATTTGGCACGATTCTGACATACTTCTTTCGCCTACTTTACATCCATATATCTACGAATACATGCTCGTCAGTTAAGGGTACTTCAGATGTGGCCCATTTTCAAAATATCACCAATTTGGTCGATAAACTTTCTTCTAGGACTTCCCTTCCTGACTGCCGTTCACATCTGCCGTATAAATTTGCTTTTTCACTCTTTCCTCATTCATTCTTTCTACATGATCAAACCCCCGAAGCATTCCTTTCTTAATCCTGGTCACAACATCATATTGAATACCACATTTATCTCTTATCACGCAATTTCTCACCCTGTCATTCGGATTCAACCCTAGCATACTCCTTAAAGACTGCATTTCTACAGCATTTATTCTACTTTTGTGCTTTTTCTGCCACACATAACTTCACTACCATACATTAAAGTAGGGACTAACACAGCATTATGAATTACCATATGTGCCTTTTTTGACACATTCTGATTCTTCATAATAGAGTGTAGTGCCCCATTCACTCTATTCCCTGCATTTACTCGTCGTTCTATATCCTTATCATATCTACCATTCCTGATAAATACACATCTCAAATACACTAACTCATCCACTTGCTCAATTAACTTCTCTTTGGTCTACTATACACTTAATAAAAAGTACATAGTGGAACTACCCTCTAGAGAAGACTGGCTGAATGCACAGGTTATCTGTGAAGCCGGTAGCCATATATCGTATACCAATGGGTCAAAAATGGGCATCAACGTGGGCTTTAGAATTTATGGGGTACAAGAAATTCACCTGTCTTCCAGACATAAATTTTCGCCATACTTCGGTGTGCGAATATCAACATGCAAAAACACTATGTCAACCATATTATCGATATAAACTCTTATAGTCAAGCAGCACTGATAGTACTACAAACTTAGTGATCTCCAAGCTAGCTGAAGACTGCATAAACTGTCTAAACACCTTGGAGTGTAACAACAGGGTCGTTTTAAGGTGGTTTTGGGGTCATGCAAGTATTGTAGGTAATGAAATTGCTGACAAGCTCTCTCAATATCTCTCTCCAAATTACTTATTAATTAACCGTACTTTTGAATAAAAAGTCTTGAAAAAAAATATGATTTATTTGGTTTTTGTCTACACTTATTAAATTTCCCATGTAACTCGTAAGTAAAGAGGAATATTTATGATGTGGACTTACATTTTAACTTAAAATTCTTCTTGAGATACAAAGATAAATTTGTTAAATATAAATTTATTTCATCATTGTTATCATAATATTTGACTTATTTATAGTATCTATTTTGCAATAATAATGTGATTAAAAAGTTCAATGGTCTCACTAATAATGTTATGACAAACAAAATCGTAAATATACTAAACCAATAACAAAGATTATATAAAGGAACTCATTTTTTCTAATCTCTTCAGCATTTTTAATTTACTTTTAGATAGATGATCAATAGCGATGCTAATATTAAGACCACTATATAAAAATGTAATTCTAAATTTGGTTAGTTTATCTCACGAAGCAAACATGCTACCCATAGAATACTATAATACATACATAATAGAACGGGGGAGTGGGCGGAGCCCGTGTAGCCACTAAAATGTCACTAACATGGTCAATTCACACATATAACCGTCAACACGAGATGTGTTTTAACGTTACAATCGTTTCCAAATTTCCGATGCAAATTATTTAGAAAATGCCAAATTGCACCCTATTTACAAATATGTTTTAAAATCTGCCTGTCAACACAGCGAATCGGGTTTGTAGTAGTGATAATACGACGTTATTACTTGTATGTGTGCTCCCGACGACGCCTATCGTCGTATAAAATAAGGTTGACAACCATTCTATTGTGTATTATAGTATTCTATGATGCTACCAACATAAAAGAAAGAAAATGCCATTCACGGTGAGCAAACGCGAATCGAAAGGTTAGCTTCGATTGTAACACACTCGCTCGTCTTCGCTTGTCGATACCTACGACGTTAACTCGGTTAAAGATCAAATCGCACTACGGCGGCGCGGCGCGGAGAGGCGCAGCGCGGCAAGGAGCGATTAAATATTATTTCACTAATTTCTATGATTCAAACCGCACCACAGCGGAGCGCCGCGGTGCGTACCGGCGCGGCGTAACATACTTGGGCCCTAGAGAATATTTTACCTTGCCGCGCCTCTCCGCTCCGCGCCTCTGCCGCTAGTGCGGTATGGCTAGCGGCGCGGTGCGGCAAGCAGTGTTGGAATCGGACAGGTAAAAAAATATAGTACGTTTCGTTCAAAAAGATAGTATTTATTAAAAAAGATCGTACATTTGAGAAATAAAATATAAAACGATAATATTTTTATTTACAACACTTGAAAAGAATAATAAATAAAGAAAATAAGAAAGTATACAATTTAATAATCAATTATACAACTTTAAATTATCAATTAACTTATATCTATTATGGAATATTTATATCAATTTCTGCAACTTGGTCAATACACTGCATTCCGTCATTACTTTTATTATTGGCTCTTCGTAACATTTCTTCTGTCGGTTCAAAATCGGTGCAATTGCCACTTTTGTTGCGTTTTATTGCATCGCATGACAGTAAGATTGCATCTACAGTTCCTGTTACTAGTCTGTTCCGAGTCCTTGACTTGGTAAGATTGATCTTACTAAATATTCGTTCACAATCTGCGTTTGCGTGTGGAAGCACGAGACAATCCAACGCGAATTGGGAAATATCGCTGAAAGGTTTGTTTTCTGTCAGATCACTCCATTTACTAAGTTTAGCCCAAAATACATCTACTTTCTTTTCAGTTTTTATTTCCTCTGGTATTTTTGCATAGGGTAGCTTGCGCCATTGATCATCCAGGATTTGCAAAACGTTTATATCATCTACGTCGACGACCCTAGGAAATGCTAACGCAATGGGTAGGATTGAAGGGTTATCTTTTCTTATTTCTTCACTCATCGCATTCTTCGCACCCAACAAGGATATTTTTATCAGTGGTGCACTGTCGAAATCCCATCTTTTCTTTATTTGTAAGGCAGCTTCAACCAGAAAATCTTTACACCTATGCAGGAACTCTATGCGCTGTTGTTTACCCGCTTTTATTTCAGAAGTGTTTATTTTTGATGCAACAGCAATTCCAAGATATAGTTGTTCAATATTTAAATGGTGTCTTGAATCTGCCGGATCAATATTACTTAATTCAGACCTGTTAACGTAATTTCTGTCCATGAAGCATAGCAGAAAATCTTTGTACAGATCTTTTATTTTCGAGTCCAATTCAGTTATTACAACTTCTGCCGATTGGAAGTATTTGTTGAAATGAGTAAATTTAGGCAGTATCCAGGACATAAAGTCATAGTATAGTTTCATATATGGATCGCTGAGCAAGTCTAATGTCAATTGGCCTGATACTAAACGCTCAGAAAGTGCCATGTCGGTAAAATACAGCTTTAAGGCATCCCAATTTGTTATTATCCTTGTAACGACATCAACTAGAGATAACCATCTAGTTTGCGATGGATGTAGCATTTTTTGAGGCTTTAGATCTAAAAATACCTGAAACTGTTGTAACTGAGCGTATCGCTTTGAACTCATTTTTAAAAATCTGAATACGTTTCTTGCTAGCTCTTCGCATCTATTGGGCAGTTTATGACACGCTGCACTTGCACAAAGATGGGCGGAATGGCAGCTACATTTTATAATTATAATGCCTGGACATTCGTTTCTAAATCTGCTTGCTACGGAGTTTTCGGTCCCCATCATAACATTACACCCGTCCGATCCAAATCCCACTACGTTTTTGAGAGGAATGCCGTGTTCCGTAAATGATTTAATCAATTTATTATATATATTACCAGCAGTAGCTCCTGTATTTGCTGTTTCGGTATCATTGTCACTGAAGATGTCATGCAAATTCCAAAATTGACTTTTAATTCTGCCTTCCGTTTCATCATAGAATCTAACAACTACACATGAAGTTTTGTTGGTGGAAATGTCTGTGGATTCATCAGTCATGATGCTAAACTTTGTATTTGTGAGCTTAAGGTGACTCTAGTCGACATTATTTCCATAGAAATTTCGGAGGGGTTTTACTCCGCTGTTTGACAGTGTACATCCAAAGTTAAACATGATATCGTTTTGTCTCATTATTAATTTTGTCTGTACCGAAACAGAATAGTAAAATAAAAAGTCAGTAAAAAGTTACGAGCTACCAAAGATTCGTTTTTATTGCCAATTTTAACACAACTTTGGGCGTAAATTAGTAATAAAAGCAGTGTAAAATTTCCAAAACAAAGTCGGTACCCACACAGCTATCTTCTATCGAAGAATTCAATAAATTTTAAAACCACGCGAAAAACTTATTCTAGTTTTATTCGACTCAGTCAGCTGCGGCCTGTGACGTTCGTATGATTATAGCTATACCTGCGCTCTAAATTACTACGCTACATTGACCCCTGCTTGAACTTTGGATTAAATCAAATTTATATAAGCACAGACAAAAATGGAGGAATATATAAATAAAATTTTGAAAAAAAAAAACGATCTCAAAATTTTATTAATGTTCCGCTAATTTTATCTGTACTTACCTATGTCAATTTGATTTACATTCGATTATAATTATATTCTCAGACGTGCAGGTTTCCTCAATATGTTTTCCTTCACCGCCGAGCACGTGGTAAATCAGCACAATTGCAATTAACAATTTCATTGATACCGGCGGGGATCGAACTCGGGTCTGCATGTCTGAGAAATTAAAAAATATATATTTCGAAGAAATGTGAAGTTCGTCAACACGCATTGAGGCAGCGTGGCGGACATTTCCTTGCCTTAAAACCCTCTCAGAAATTAGAGGAGGCCTGTGCCCAGCAGTGGAACGTATATAGGCTGTAACTTTACTTTTTTTACTTTTATAAATATGTTATTTTACCGACGAAAATTTTAAATAAAAATAAAAAATAAGCAACCGACAACCTCCTAGGTCCCTAGGTGACTTGCGAGATGTCAGTGTAACAAAACAAAACGGCCCAGAAAAACAGACTTTCCAACTGATAGCTAAATCAGCACGCAACAATTTCATTGGTGCCAGTGGGGATCGAACCCGGGTTGCTCCCGTACTGTGATACCTATCACGCGCGCTGACCATGTGAGCTACCACGGCTCTCAACGACATCGTTCCGTTCGTGTACAGCGCTGAAGATAGCAGAGTAAAAAATGAGAGATTGTGGTGTTTGAAATTTGTCATCTGTGAGAGTGAATTTTATCTGTGTACTCTGTAACAAATAACTATATAGAAAAAAAATGTGAAAATGACATTTCGCCATTTTTGTTTGTGTACTGGTTAGGAACTCGATCAAAAATTTGATAATTTTTCTGTTTTTATACGTTATTTCTAATGTTATTTTACATCAAATTAATTGTGAAGATATTTTCTTTAGGAAATATGTTTCATTACGACGATTCAAAAACGTTTACATATAATAATTTACCTCGAAATTCACTATACGCGATTATCGTTTATTGATTATATTATGTTGTTTAAAAAGTATTCCTATCAGCTTTGTGTTAAATGGATGCTAAATATAAAAGAATGCTTCAGTATTGATATCAATTTATAAACCAAATATCTGTTGAGATGTGTCTAGAAATTATTAATACTTATTTTTATTTATTTATTAAAATAATAAATAAATAAAAATAGGTATACATTTATCTATATTGAGTACTAGTTTTTCCCCGCGATCTCGCCCGCGTGGAATATGGATTTCATGGGTTTTAATTTTTTTTGCGCGGAACCCTAATTCTTTGTCTAAAACAAAAGTAGTTCAAGTTATTTCTTATATCATCAGCTATCTGCCAGTGAAAGTCCCGTCAAAATAGATCCAGCTGTTTCGGAGATTAGCTGGAACAAACAGACAGACAGACAGACCGACAGACAGATAAAAATTTTAAAAATTGTGTTTTTGTTACTAGTACTTTCATATGCATTTATTAAGAAGCTGTTATTTTAACATTACAAACAGACACTTAAATTTTATTTATTTGTAGATATAGATATAAGATATTATTCATATTGGTGTCATTTTAAAGGGAATATCATGTACTATTATAATAATAAAATAATTCTCTCCAGTAAATATTATGCTTTTCTTGTAAAACTCGAAATAACAAATAAATACGATTTATTTTTATATTCCCATATGCTTTATTTTCATCCCTTATTTTTTATTTGACCAATTTTCTTTTAACAAAATTAAATTCTGAATTGGTTGAGCTTTTTGAGAATATTTTTATTTGAATGTTAGGTAGGTACCTATTTAGTTTTTCAGTAGTAATCGTTTTTGTTGCGACAGTCTCGCGCGGTCGTAAAAAAAGTTACTGCGCGGACAGGTGGGACGAGAATCACTTGCGGGGCGTGGACGGTGGATAGGTACCTACCTACTGTTATTACCTATATACCCACAACCTACTATACAACAAAATTTGACAAACTGTCGCTGAGTCGTGGATACTAAAATCTAAACTGCCTACCTACCTGCCTAAGTACGTCGGTACTAAGGAAACGGTCTTGACGGGTCACTTGTCTTGATAAAAACATGTGTTTACATCTAGTGATATTGTGTGTATATAAAAAAAGTAAGAAGACAGGTAAGTATTTTTGAAAACAATTTATAGGTAGGCAGAACTAATTACAATTATTATCTAAATATTATAAATGCGAAAGTTTGGATGGATAGATGTATGTTACTCAATCACGCCAGAACAGCTGAAGGGATCTGGATGATATTTAGCTCAGAGATAGGTTATACCTGGTCTGGAATAACACATTTTTTGATACCGTTTATTCAGGTATTTCGTTCCTGTGGGATAATTTTCGAGTTCACGCGTTTGAAGCCGCTGGCAACAGCTAGTACGGATAGAAACTGCGATGACTGTTCCAGTTCATGCTTCGGCGTCGTGAACTCTTGAGTAATCGCTTGCATGACCACCCGGGGAAAACAAAACATAATAAAATAAGCAATCTATATTAGGTATCTATAGAGCCATAGAGGTATAGTATAAAGCGATAACGCAGCGCAGTGCCTAATAATTTAGTACGAGTTTGTAGGTAGGTACTGCTGATTTCTCAGCAAGCGTCGAGCGGCACAGAATAGGGTGGTATGTATGTGTGCATCGTGTTCGTGTAACTTCGTTTTTGTTCTAACGGTTCGGAACGCCGTACGAACAAGACGTGCGTTCTAACCGCTCTTCACTGGTACTATCTCTGTCGGGCACGATGCCATGTGAGACAACCTGCTTTTTGGCCGCGCCCACCAATGAGTTCGAGCCCGCGACTTGTGCCACCTTAACCACCATAACTGTTTTATGACTAGGAGCTATAACATTGCATATTATTTTTGCACATTTTTTTCTAGTTAGATTAATTTCTTTTGCGACCTTTGAATCTATGAAACATTCTTTAAGCAGTTTACCCAGATGATCTGCTGCGTTGAAGGCTATGTTATGTTCGGCCAAATAAGCAGCCAGCTTGATCTCTGTAACGGTAGCCATTTTTTTGTGTTTGTTTCCGATGATGAACTACATGTACTTGCAAAATAAGACGTAACTGATTTGGAACCACGTACTACAGATAAATTTTTCAAATGTTTTTTACCTTCTGAGTGTTTCACTAGAACTTGTTTTTCGGCCGTTATGGATGTTTCACATACTTTACACCGTGCTTTATATACATCAAAATTGTCACGAGCAACCCACCTGCTAAATATTGGGTCATTTTCCCACTCAACTCTATATTTTTGTAATCGGTGCTTCTCTTTTTTCACCAAATCACCTCTTACTAGGCGCTGCTTTTTTGGAGTGGAAGCCGAAGCTTTATCAGTGTCACTTTCACTCGACATTAAGATTGCTCTTCGAGTTCACAAGTCAAGAAATTAAAAAATATATTAGTTGTTTCTTAATCGCGGGGCGGAATAGAACTATAGAACTAAAGTGAGTAAACTTGAGCGTAGAAATGTACATTTCATTCATTCATTTGGGATATTGTGTAAACCGCTATACATTTAGGGAAAGTCCCAAGCATAAAGCATACTAGGATCTATGTCTATGCATTTGATACGGAGTTCAATGTTGCTATATAGAAAAAGATTTTTTCAGGTAATTTTTAAAAATAGTTTTTCTACCTAGAAATTATCGTATTTTTACGTACGATAATTGAATTAGGATAGTATATCGAACTTAATGACAAATTATCGTACAAATACGATAATTGTACAAAATCCAACTCTGGCGGCAAGTCAGTCAGTTCAGGTTCAACTACTGAGAGAGCAAGACGACGCACGATGGACGAGGAAAAATTAATTGATCTCGTGAGTGGTTATCCTGAATTATATGACTTGGATAATCAAAATTATATGAACCAGGTCAGGAAAAATAACATATCATTCCATATGTTATTTTTGATAGGTGTATTATTGAGAGTATCTGGTAAGTAAAACATTTTATTTTGGTAATAGGTAGTTTAGTCGAGACTTGCGCATGCTTTCTTACTTAAAGTAACTAACGCTAATTACACATCTTTCTCACTTGACATCATGATTAAGGTAGGTAATTTATTCCCCTTGGCGACATCCTCGCCGAATCATTTCAGTTTGCCAAGATAATTAAAAATAATAGAATTAAAGTATTCTTTTAATTTATCTCGACTTCGTAAGCATTGCTAGTAAAATTAACACCAATCCGTGGAAGTTCCAGTAATGTAATTGATCGGTGGGCCTTTTTTTGTCACTAAAATGTAGTGGATCATCTCTAAGAAAATTGTATAAGCAGCAGGTGGCGAGAGTTACGTTATCAACGTTTTCTGGACTTACATTTATTGTACGATAGTAAATTCTAAAATTTTGACATAATATTCCGAATGCGTTTTCGGATACTCTTCGAGCACGACTATGCCTGTTGTTATGTTGTGTTGTTGTAAATTTTATTGCCTTCATCTTGCAACTGTGTTTCCGGATATGGTC